TTTGCTATTAGCTAGTATATCCTCGGATTTAGTAGGTGCTTTATCCCCTTTACGTAGGTAGTACGGCTTAAGGAGGGATACGTAGAAGGTGTTATAGATAGTGTAATAAGGTAGAAGCTATAACTAATAGGCCTAGGTGCCCCTAGGTTCTCGGATACGGAAAGGGCTAATGTACCTTAGTGCGAGTTTAGGCCTTGTTTTGCTATTAGGCGAGGGGTGTTTGCGGATACGGAGGTTCTTCGTACTAAGCATAACTAGGTCGCCTTGCTTAAAGGTTATTAGAAGGTAGTATTTGTTATAGTAGGCCTTCTAATAGGCCTAGGCCTTTGCTAGTTTGTTAGCTATCTTAGCGTAAATTTCTCGCATCTTTTAAACCCTCTTAATAGCCGCTAGTGTCTTAGGTTAACCCGCTTCCCTTTCCTTACGCTCGGCCTCGAGCGATAGGGGGTCTTGTAGTATAGCAGCGTTCTAGCCTATTATAGCGAAATAAGGTAACACCTTAGTAGATAAGTAGACACTGTTATTGTATACGAATTCGGCGGGTTATAGGAGATTAACCTAGTTATTAGGGTTCTTATTAATATAGCTACGCAGATACTGCTATAGCGTAGCATTCTGCCTTTCGGTCTAACTATCTATTTATAGATAGAATGCTATAGATAGGCGATGCTTAAGTCTTAGCTATAGGCAAATCTCACTCTAATAATAAGATATGAATGTCGAGCCTCGGTTAGAGACTATCCCTTTAGGGGTCCCCTAATAGGTATAGAAGATGTTGTTCTATAGCGCTTCTGCTATATTAATAGCAGTCTAATCTTTCCGCGCCGGGATGTATCGAGCGCCTTTAGTAAACCGATCTACTATAACAAGGATAGTATTATACACGTCCTTGCTGCCCCTGCGCTTAGTAGGCGGAAGTCCTATAATAAAGTCTATTATAAGCTCTGCAAATAGCTTGTAAGGGATTAGCAATAAGGACAACTCGCTAAAAGGCTAATGCTTTAGTGCCTTAATACGTTAATATACGGCATACGTGTCTACGTAGTCCTTTATATCCCGCTTACTATTTAGCTAGTAGTATATACGCGATAGTAGCTCGTGCGACCTCTCTATACTATAGTAACCGGCAAGCTTACTATTATAGTGTCGCTTAAGAAGTTCTTGTCGGATCGAATGTTTAGCGGGGACATAGTATCTGCCCTTAAACTTTAAATAATCTTTGTTATCGATCGACTAATTGTTACTCTTACTAGATCGAGTCTTTCGCCTACTTATAAGCTTATCGATACGTTTAGTAGTAAAGGCGTCCCTCTACTAAGCATGTAATAGCTTATCTATAAACGATTGACTATCCCTATTTATAAGGTTATTTAATAGCACCCTCGCTATTAAACGAGGTACGTATTATATATATCTAATAGCACTAGCAGCCGGATTAACTATAGTAGTACTATCGCTATTACTATATATTGCGATATCGACTAGGGAGTTATTATAACTTCTCCTATCTGTGTCCTTAGCCCTTGCCTTAATACGTACTATTAATATAGCAAGAGTATTAATATGCTTTAAGCCGTCGCGGAGTCCGGTAAGCCGCTTATCCTACGCTTACTTATTAACAATACGGGCTATAGCGATCTTATACTATAGGGTTAGAAACAAAGAATTAATGTATTAGGTTTCGCTATTGTAATTAGGTCGCCTCGATAGGCTATTAGCAGGGTTGCTTACGCCTAGCCGATATAATATATTAAAATCGAACCCGGCGAGGTAGACGGCCTATCTAGCCTATTAACCTATAACCCTAGTAACCTTAGTAATACTACGGAGGTTGTTATAGTCTGTATAGACCTGTATTATATATTAAGCCCTATTAAGGTAGTGCCTCTAGTACTTAAAGGCCTCGATAATAGCTAGGAGCTCTTGCTCGTAGGTCTCGTAGCGACGTTTAGTATTAATTATCTTCCTCGAGAAGAAGGCAATCGGGTACTAGTAGGTGTTATTAGCCTACTATAATATAATAGCTAATATAGCGAACTATAAAGCGTTAGTCTCAATTCGGATCTGCTTATTTAGCACGAAATAGTATAATAAGGGGACTTTAGTAAAGCGCTTCTTTAAACCGTTAAAAGCGGCTTATACTCTATTAGTCTATTTAAACTCCCTAGTTAGGTTGGCCTTAGTTTTAGTAAGCTTAGTTAGGGGCATTACATATCGTAAATAGCCCTTAATAAAGCGACGATAGAAATTAGCGAAGCCGAGGAACGACTAAAGTTCCTTAATACTAGTAGGTATTAGCTACTTAGTAATAGTCTTAATCCGGTTAGGATTAGCCTTAATACCCTTAGTCGATACGAGGAAGCTAAGGAAGGACACCTCTTTAGAAGCAAAGGTGCATTTAGAAGGCTTGCAATACAGTCTATAGGTCCTTAAACGATCGAGTACCTTACGTACTATAGCCTAGTGCTCTGCAATGTTAGGTAAATAGGTATAAACTAGGATATTATCTAGGTAAACTACATAGAGGTAGTCTAATAGGCCCGAAAGGGCCCGATTAATATAGGACTAGAATGTTGCAGGGGCATTAGCTAGACTAAATAGTATAACTAAGTACTCGAAATAGCTATAGCGAGTACGGAAGGCTGTTTTCTATTCGTTACCCTTACGAATGCGGATACGATAGTACGTATCCTTAATGTCTAATATAGTATAGTAGTAAGCCCTAGAAAGGCGATCGAGGGTCTTATTAATAAGAGGGAGTAGACAGCGGTCTTTAATAGTAACAGCATTAAGCCTACGATAGTCGATATATAGACGCAGGCTACTATCCTTCTTTAGTACGAATAGGATAGGTGTACTAGCAGGGCTATTACTATACCGAATACGACTATTAGCTAGGTTTTCCTCTAGGTACTTACGCAATATAGTAAGCTCGCGCTTACTAAGGTTATAGAGTAGTCTAAAAGGAACCTCCTTACCCTCTATAATATTAATCTTATAATCCGTCTCTTTAAATATAGGCAATGTCGATGCTAGGTAGTATTTAAACACATTAATATAGGTTTCTCGAATAGGCTCTAGTATGCGCTTAAGCTGTTTAGGGTCTATGCTATTAGGGGGCACAGGTTTATCGTTATTACTACCGAGCAGGTCGGCAGTTAGATTAGCTAAGGCAGAGGCTAGTATAAGGTTGCCGATAAACAGGACCCTAATATTATTAGGACACTCGCTAATATCGATGTGTTTAATATCCTCTCTCCTAGCGATTCTAAATCGCTATTGTTAACTGCCTAAGTCTATAACTATAGCATAGTGCTTAAGAACAGGGTTGCTAATAACAATAGTAGCTCCCTTATATAGGTTGTCTATATCTACTGCGTAGGCAGTAAAGTCTAGTAGGCGTTTATTTCCGAGGTCGTCCTTTAGAGCTATAGGAATATAGTAGGCCCTATAGGTTAAGTGCCGAGCGTTATTAAACTAAGCAAGGGTTAGTAGGTTAGTTCTCGGCAATTGTCGAAGGTCTAATTGCTTAGCTAGGCGATAGCTAATAAGGGCACTAACTGAATTTCCTAGATCTAGTATAACCTTAGTTTAATAGCTAGTGCCCTTCGTATCCTATATAAGGTAGGAGCGTGTTATAGCTAGCACAATGTCGATAGTCTTACGCCGCACGAGGCTAACAGTTAGTGCGGCGCTTACTCTTTTTTCGACTAATTAGAAGGTTAGCCTATAGGGATAGCGTTAGCTACTAAGAGATGCTTTTAGTGCTTAGCGGCAGTACGGTCGACTCGGGCCTAATCCCTAGGTTTGTCGCATTAGCCTAGTAGATAGCTAGTGCTGTCGCAATTAAAGCACTTCAATCTAGTTAGGAGGTTGCTATAGCTACTATTAGTCGAGCGGTTAGCGTTATAAGGATACGAGCCCCTTCTACGGCCCCTATTACGGCCTCCTCTATATAGCCGTCGGCTACGACCTCTTCCGCGGTCGTTACTGTTCCTATTATTAGCATTATTGTCTTAGTAGGAACCTTGGTTTCCTCCGCGGCTACGGTTGCTACGGTTGCTAGTAGGTCGGATTCTTAATTCTAGTCGTTACTAGAGCTAGATAGCTCGTTTAGCAGTTTCGACTTTAACTATAAATTGAATGCGTATAAGATTAGTCTATTTAAACACACGGCAGCGGTCTAATTTAAGGACTAATTCCTATCTCAATTTAGGGCGTATTTCGGAGATCTAGATAGAATTAGTTTTCGTCGGGAGGTCGTCTTCGAGGGTCTTTAAATAGGCCTTAAATAAGCGAGCCGATTAATTAGTCTTTTGTTTAGCTCGAAGGTACTAGTCCTAAGCGTATTGTTGCCTTAGTATAGGGTTTCTAAGGGTGTCTAGTATAATAGTTTTGTAGGTCTGCTACTAAATAGCAGTCTAGTTATTAAGGGAGTTAAAATAGTTATCCTAGGTGCGTTTTAGGTCGCCGTTAATGTACTATATAGCATAGACGACTAGTAAATAGTTATTTAGTAGAGCCCTTAGTACGTTTCGTTAGTTAAGCTTACAGTTACGAATATAGTCGTTGTATTGCTTTCGACTAGAGCTATTAAATACGGTGTAGTCCTTAAGTTTAGCATCCTTCTTCTAGACTAGGACTAGTAGTAAGGAAGGCCCTACTATCGGCTTAGTATTAGTTGTTAGGGCCTCCTAAAGGCGGCGAATTTCGAGGAGGTTATCCTTTAGCTATTGTTCTTAACGTAGGGTAGTAAGCCTGTTTTAGGTAGCTTCTTAGAGTCTCCCTACTAGTTAGGGGCTAAAGGCTAGCTAGCTATATCGTCGATTAACAATGTTGTTAAGAATGTCGTTAATAGGCAATTCTAGATTATTACCTAGAATTATAGGTTCTTCTTTAATAGGCTCTCTAGTAGGCTCTTTAGTAGGAGGCACTTTAGTAGGCACTTTAGTAGGTGCTATGCTACTAGTGTTATTATTGCTAGTGCTACTAGCGGTAGTATGGTTGTTGTTTTGTAATAAACCGGCTATTATAAGGGGCGACACTAATAATGTATTATTAGTCCCTAAGATACGGATATAGCGGAATTAGTAGATATCGGCTTAGTATACTTAACTTAGTATAATAGGCCGTATAGAAGGCCTTGCTTAATAATTAGTACGGTTGTTTCGATAGAATAGTACGTATAGGTCCCGTTCTTCGGGCGTAATATAGTTAAATCGATAGTTTTCGTAGCTATACCGCTAAAAGCTTAAAATAAGGACTATTTAAAGGGTAGATCGAATACTATATAAGAAGGGTTATGTTAGCAGGTAGATAGGGTAGTAGTAAATTAGTTTAGTATTCGATAGAGATCTAGAAGGAGAGGGAGGAAGGTAGGAGAGTTAGCCTAACGCTAAGCGCTAAGCCCTACCTAAGGCATTAAGACCCTAGCTTTACTCGGCCTAGTTATATACTAATTATATATAGCCTCTTTAGCCCTAATATATGTATTAGACCGCTATACTAGTGCGCCCGTTTACTAGCGTCTTACGCCGCGATAAAAGATCGGAAGTATCCGCGCTTAATAAGTATAGATCTCGGGCGCACTTATAGGCTAGAAGTTACGTAAGTCTTGGCGCCAAGCCTTAGCCTGCACCTCTAGACTCTAATACGCGCTTCCCTCTTCTTAGCTGCAGCCCCCGCAGCCTATAACGTTATACCCTGCACCCGAATATGTAGCTAGGCAACGTCTTCTTAGTATACCCTATATCCGAATATGTAGCTAGGCAACGCCTTAGCATACCCTATACTCGAGGCAGCTAATTAAACAACTGTCGCAATCTAAACGTATAGCGACGTTTTTTAACTGCCTATAAGTCGATCCCTCTAAGGCAGGTACGCCTATAGTAGAGTCGCGCGCCTAAGGCAATTAGGCGCCTCCGAAGCCGCGTCTACTAAGGATTAGCCTAGTCGGCTAATAAGCGTACGCCGACTCGCTAAGAATCGAACGCGCGACCGTTAAACCTATAGACCGTTAAGCGCGGATACTATATTAGACCGCTATACTAGTACGCCTATTTACTAGCGTCTTACGCCGCGACAAAAGATCGGAAGTATCCGCGCTTAATAAGTATAGATCTCGGGCGCACTTATAGGCTAGAAGTTACGTAAGTCTTAGCGCTAAGCCTTAGCCTATACCTCTAGACTCTAATAGCCCGCGCCTTAGTTTATTATAACGCTCGACTCGCTACGATACTCCTCTAGCAAAGCAAGACCGAATAATAATAAAGAAGGCTTTCGCCGGATAGGAGCGCTATATATAGTTAAGAGACAACTTCGCGTCGCTACCTAGTCGAAGCCTGTACCGTTATAGAGGAGCCGGAAATAGTCTAAGAAGTAGGTTATCTTAGCGTACTTATCGCTAAATAGGGCTAGGAGCTATACTGTCTATTCCTAATTATAAGTAGTACTCTCTAAGAGTAAGGCGACGCTAATACTATAGCTAGATATCGTATCGAATTAATACTAGATCTCGAGGACCTTTATAGCCGCCTTATTAGCGACGTCGTTATAGAAAAGGCTAATAGCGATATAAAATACCTTAAGAGGCTTCGCGATAGTCGATCCTTCTACTAGCTACGATTCGAATATCTACCTAAGGTCTAGCTTCCGAGGGACGATACTAAACGAAGGAAATAAGCCGAACCGCCGTAGATCGAGAATCCTCTATAGTAGGCTAAGTAGTAGCGAGTCTTACTATATCTTCGTAAAGAAAACTACCGACTCTTACGGTAATTCCTACCGAGTACTATAAACCTCTTTATACTAGAATTGTTAGCCGCTATATCGGAGTACGACCGCTATTACACTTAAAGTAGGTAGTATATACCTACCTTTTAGGGTCTTAGGGTCTATTACGTACATAATGCCTAAGGCTGCAATCTGCTGTCTTTAGGACTTCTCGCCTCTATAGCTAGATAGTCCTTATAATTAACATTAGTTTTAGCATTTAAGTAGTTATAAGCCCCTTGCGTTTCTAACACGCATTCTACACGCTTCTAATAGTTACTCTATCGACTACTACGTAGCTAGTATCGCTATCAAAAATCGCGCCGCCGCTAACACGTCGTTGTCGCCGCCGCCGCTACTATATTAGCTAGCAAACACCTCGATTTCTAGCAAACACCGCGTCGCCTGTCCGGCTACGCTAGTATTTAACGACGCGTCGCCTATGCGGCTACGCTATTCGGCTGTCCGCTACACCTAATACACGGTTTGTATCTCGTTTTTACTATCGCTATCGCTGTCCGTAATAGCACCCTCTTTAACTAGCGCTATCGCTAGCACCTATATTAGCAACATTCTAAAGCTAAAGAATAAGGAAAACTACCTATTATAGTTATACGCCGCTAAAGGCGCCCTTAAAGGTATGTCGGTCTAGCGCTATATGCAAGGCACCCGCTAGCGACCCCTTGTTAAGGCCTCTAATAAGACGCCTAAAGAGTTTAAAGACCGCTAAGATAAATGGGACTCTAAAGATTAGTTAGCGCGTACCTAGATATTCGCTAACTATATTAGCGATATTTAATAATCGCTACTTAGTCTATCTACTTCGAAGGAGGTATAGGACTTCCTTAAAAAGAAATACACTAGTAACGGTAGGTCTACTGAATTTATGCAGTTCTAGGAATATATTACCCTCCGGTACGAGAGCAAGGACCTCGAGAAGTTCTGCAATAACTATAAGAAGAAGTTAGGTGCGCTAAGTACTACTAAGTTAGCTATTAGCGACTATTAGGCTGTCTACTTCTTTATTATGCTAATTAGCCTATTCTATAAGGCATTCGCTTAGATACGGCGAGAGTATATACGTACTACTAACTTCGCAGTTAACAGTAATACACTAGACAACATTATTAGCGCGTTGCTTAATAAGAACGTTGCTTAAGTTAATTAGGCCTAGTACAATAGATACTATAGCTAATAGCAACTAGTACCTACTAGCAATAACAATAACGCGCCTCGAGGTAACAATCGAGGCAACAACCGTAGAGGCCGCGGCAATTCTACTAGTCGAGGCCGCGGTAGAAACAACTAGAATAGTTAGCCCCGTCCGAAGTGCGCCTATTGCGAAGGCACTTACCTATCTAATCGCTGCTATACTAAGTACCCTTATTTAAAGGAAGAAGACCGACTCCGCCGTAAGCGTAAGAAGGCTAAGAAGAAGGGGGTGCAATAACAGCGGCAGCACTAATAGCAGCATAGACTAGCTGCTTAGTAACAGCAACTACCTCCGCCGACAGGCCCGTAAGGTACGTAGGGCCTATATATATACAACAACCCCCGCATAGACATACTATTACTACAATACTCGTTTAACGCTATTACTATTAGTAATGCGGCCGCTTCTGCTCTCGCGGCTGCTACTCGTACTACCGATTAGGTCGTAGACTTAGGTACTAGTATATACATAGTTAATAACCTAGTATTGCTTATTAAATACGAGGGCTGCAGTGTACCTATTCGCTTTAGTAGCAATACTAAGCACGCTACGCTTATTAGTATAGCTAGTACTAAGGTTGTTAATAAGTATAGAATAAGCACACTACGGCTGTCTAAGACACTGTATATGCCTAGTCTAGTAGCTAACCTACTATTAACCGAGAAGCTTGCCGATAAGGGCTGCTTCTACCGTAACGATAAGCGAGTCTTATTTACACACGATGCTAATAGCAATAAGGTCACTGTCGCTTAAACCTACCGTAAGGATAGCCTTCCTTTCCTTTACACGCCTACTTCAGGTCCTAATAGCTAGGTTGTTGCGCTTCTATTAAAGAAGGGGGTGCTAATAGGCACTATAAACGAATGGCACCTACGACTTAGCTATATTTACTATACTAAGCTTCTACGCCTAGAGGCTAAAGGCTACATTATTATTACTAGCGACAAGAAGCAGACCTTCTATAACTGTATTGCCTGCCGCTTGGCTATAGCCTATAAGGAATACAGCCGGCTACTACGAATGCGGCTATCTACGATCTACTATATTGTCTATGTTAACGTAGTCTGTATTACTAACCCTAGCCTTTGCAAGGAGCGTTACTTTACGCTCTTTACGTGCGCTAAATTAGCATATCGCTACGAATATGCTAGCAGCCTAAAGTTAGGCGCTGCAGTAGCAATTAAGGACTACCGGGTCTACATTCGTACTTAAACCGGCCACTCGATCTTAGAGTCGATTCCTATTTACTGCCTCGATAGAGGGGGTGAATATAGTAGCAATTAACTCCTGTCTTAGGCCCGCGATAATAGTATTGTGCTGCAGGTTACGGCTCCCTATTCTTCTACGCAGAATAGCCTTACTAAAGTTAGCAACTATATCGTATATACGACCGCTCGGAAAATGATACTATAGGCCAACCTTCCGAAGGCTCTATAGCCGTAGGCTGTTACTACCGCTATATAGGTTATTAACATTACACTAAGCTAGGCACTCGATAGAGATAGCCCTTATACTATAGTAGCTAAGGAACTCGGCTAGTTACGTACGTAGCTACGTATTTAGTACTTACGTACCTATAGCTATACGACTATTGTCTACGACTATAGTATAGCTCGTAGTAAGAAGTTTAACGCTCGAGGCAAGCTTAGTAAGCTAGTTAGCTATGCTAAGGACTTAGTAGACTCCGGCAAATATATAATCTATCTACCTAATAAGCATAAGGTTATTGCCTCGAAGGATATCCAATTTATTAAGTTAGATAGCGACCTTTAATTGCTATAGGGCATTAAGCTATATACTAATTCTAACGACCCGTCTAAGAGCGAGTTTATAACTATTAAGTTAGTTATGCCTGCCTTGTTTAATACGACGACGAATAAGGCTCCGAAGGCAGCTAAAGCAGCTAGTGTAGTCTAGCAACTTCCGCCTTAATAAGAAGAGCCTACTAAGGTACCCGTTCTATTAACAAATAAGGTTGTCGACCTACCGCCGATTAAGGACGATATGCCTAACATTTAACCGCCGGCCGCTAATAAAGAGGACTTCTATTTAGCTAATAAGCAACTATATAACCCTAATGCTAAGAAGGGCGAGCTAGGCTAGTTGCCTAAGTTTAAACGCCCTAATACCGCAGGTCCGCGTACTATACGCTTAACTCGTAGCAACAAGTTAGCTCGAGACCTATTACGTAGCTATTTAGCCGATATAGGCGCTAGTCGCAAAGAACGCCGCAACCTTACTAACATGCTAATAGCCTATATAAAGGGCTTTATAGTAGCCTACTATATTGCTAAGCAGGCACTAAATAACGACATTCCAATTCTAAAGAGCTTTAAGGCCGCTAAGGAGTCGCCCTACTAGCTACAATAGAAGGAGGCCTATAAGACTAAGTATAAGTCGCTTATAGATAACGCTACCTAGATCTACGTTGCTAAGTAGGAGGTTCCTACTAGCCGCAAGGTTGTCCGTAGCAAATAGGTATTTACTATCAAACGAGACGCTAATAGCACCTTTAGTCGATTTAAGGCCCGTTAGGTTGTTAAGGGCTTTACTTAGGTTAAAGGCGAGGACTATAATAAGACCTATGCCGCTGTCGCTAAACTAAGCACTCTACGTGCCTTGTTTGCTATAATTGCTTACTACGACCTAGAGGCTTAATAGTTTGATATCCTTACTACCTTCTTAAACGCTATAATTAGCGATAAGTACAAGATCTACGTTAAGTAGCTACACGGCTTTGAAGACCGTAGTAGCAAGGGCATAGTTTGCCTATTACTAAAGGCCCTTTATAGGCTTAAGCAATCGCCTATACTATAGTATAAAGAGCTTCGGAAGTACTTAAAGAGCCTAAACTTTATCCCTATAATAAGCGACGTGTACGTGTTCAAACATACGGTTAGCAACTCTATTATTATTATCTACGTAGATAATATAATTATTATCGTATACTCCTTAACTGCCTTGTAGGTAGTCGCTTAGTTGCTAAAGGACCGTTTTAGTATGCGAGAACTTAGTAACCTTCACTACTATCTCGGCATGCGTATTATCCGTAACCGATAGGACCGCACTATCTATGTAGTATAGGACGCCTATTTAAACCGCCTAGCTAAGAAGTATAGCATATAAGGCCGTATAGCCCCTGCTATGCTAATAGCTCCGCGCTATATTAAGTTAGCTATTTAACGCGCCCCTAAAGGCTACACTGCTAGTGCTGCCTTTAAGACTAAGTATTAAGAGGGTATTAGCGAGGCTCTATAGCCTACTATAATTACTCGACTAGACACCTGCTATACGACTAGCCTACTGTCTCGCTTTATCGCTAACCCGACTAAAGAGCACTATTATGCGCTTCTATAGCTTATTAAGTACCTTGTTAGCACGCTTAGTCGCGGTATGCGCTTCGAGGGCACAAGCAACAAGGATAAGCTTAATCTTGCTAGATACTATAACGCCTTATAGGCTAACGATCTAGTTACTCGCCGCTCGATAGGCGGCTTCTACTTCACGCTCGCTAGTAGACTACTACTATACAAGTTAGGCCGCTAGACCTTAGTTACTCTATCGTCTATAGAGGCTAAGTATATTTAGTTAACAACTAGCGCTAAGGAAGCCGTTGCTTTAGCTCGGTTGCTATAAGAGATTAGTTATAAAGGCACTATTAAGCCTATTACGCTATATAAGGACAATTAGTCCGCTATTACTATTACCTAGTCGACAAGCGTTAATAGCCGCACTAAGCATATAGATGCTCGAGTACACTATATCCGTAAGAAGATTGCCGACGGCACAGTTACCGTTACGTAGATTAGCACTTATAATTAGATTGCTAATAGCTTTACTAAGCCGCTTAATAAGCTTAAGCATACTCGCTTTATTAAACAGTTGAATTTAGTCGATTGTAAGGCTACTATTAACAGCGCCGCTTAGCCTGCTACTAAGTATTAATTAGATAGATAGAATAGCCTCGTTTAACTGTACTGTTTAGTACCCCTTTGTTTGTTTGTTTAGCTATATATACGCGATAAGGGGGTGACTTAAAGTAGGTAGTATATACCTACCTTTTAGGGTCTTAGGGTCTATTACGTGTATAATGCCTAAGGCTGCAATCTGCTGTCTTTAGGACTTCTCGCCTCTATAGCTAGATAGTCCTTACAATTAACATTAGTTTTAGCATTCAAGTATTACGCTACTTACTATAGCTTTCTATATCTCGGACCCTTTAAGACTATAATCTTAAGCGTACGTCTTCGCGAGTATTATAGTAGGCCTCGAGAGACTACGATAGGTAGTTAGTAGCAGGCCCTCGTTAGATCTATACTAGTACGACGCGAATAAGTACCCGGCGGCTAGAGGAGTTAGATCGAGGTCGGTTCTAGTAGAGTTTATAATAGTCGATTGCGATATTAGGTTATTATAGTAGTAATTAATAACCGCGCGCCTACTAAAGTCGTTATATCTCTAGACGTAGGCGCGTTATACGCGGCTGCTATAGTCGTATACGCGACGCGCGCCTTCCTTAGGACTCGCGAGCGAAGGATACCGCAATTTCGTATAGCTTCTCGAAGGCTATAGAGGTCGATAGAGCTACGATAGTAACTAAGAGGGTCGATAGTATTATATTTATAAAACCCCGATAGCGGAGCTTGCGATAGTAGGGCCTCGGCACTAGTCGTACGTACTAAATTACGCTTCCTATAAGGCTACTAGCGCGATCGAGTATACCGCTTTAAGTAAATACTGCTAAATAAGATATATACGATAAAGACGCCCTTTTCGAGACTACTATCGAAGTTATAGCTCGTCGCGGTATATACTGCGACGTCTACGCTCTTCCGGATCGTAGAGGTATTAACGTTCCTCGCGTCTACTAATTAGAGGCCGCGGTTAGCCCGTTTTAAGCTATACTAAGCCTAAAGGGGCTCTAACTTTTGTTAAGTTGTTATATTATAGATGTTCTCCGAAAATACGGCTGCTTAAGGCTTCTAACTACTATAATATCACAAACGATTGCATCAAATTCAGGTTAGAATGCTTTATGAATGTCCAATGCGAAATAGACTTGATGAACGGCAGATTCCGGGTGAGCAAGATGGCTTCGTCATCCCGATCATCCTCCATCCTCTTTCAGCTTCAGCTCGTACAACACTTCGTACATCCCCACTTTTTCCAGGCCCATTGCACTGTATCGCATTCATTATTGCGACACAAAACTTCTGCAATTTCTGTTTGAATTGCCATAGCCCCAGTGATATTGTATGGCATTGCCGCATTGTACGACCAAGGCTGGAATTAGTTGTACGAGCACCATCAGTGCCGCATGTACAAGTCGTTCACACCCCAGCGATGCCAAAGTGCGAGACACTTTACCTGGTATTCTGAAAGGCCTTCACTGACGGATCAATATTAGGCAAAGACAGACTTGTACGCGATGTAGCCTTCGACGACAGAAGTGCGACCGCAAACACCCGTGTACCAGGTGTGTCAAGGCTGGCGAGAGCGCCGCCTGTTCGACAGTCTGGGCTGGAGGCTATGATCCTCACGTACACAGAGTCTATCCAGCAGGAGTCAGTGATCTTCGAAGGCGTCGAGACCATGCACGCTCTTCAAACAGAAATGCCTTGCAACACTCTCTCCCGGATGATGCTCCTGTAGCAGTCGCATATCGTGATCATGAAGGCAATAAAATCCTGGCAACAGATCCTGCTGTTGCACAGGCCGTCTCGGTGCCTTGTGCCAATGGAGCTGCAATCATTCCCGATCACTTGGAAGCCACCGACCCACTACACGAACCATGCACGGAGATCGCGCAAATACAGCGGAGGCTACCATTACCGTACCAAATCCTGGAGATTGTCACGTACCACATCGAGAATTTGGCATGGCATCATCAAGTTCTGCATGCACCGACGTTTCTCAAAGAAGTCAATACTGTTCTCGATGCGAGCAAAGGGAAGGTTCGTCTCAGCGAGCTCGACCTCCAATGGTGTGCTCTTCTATTTGCCGTTCTTGCGACGACTTTAGCATGCATGCAAGATGATGTGGCACTGCGTATGGGCTTTCCTCTTGGCTCTAAACGACCGACTAGTCGCAGTTTCCACGAAGCTGCCATGAGATGTCTATCTCTAGGAGACTTCGCGTCTAGGCCACATGTATGCTCTGTCCAGACCATCCAGGTCCTTATGGGTAGCAGCCATCTACTCGGATATTCCAATCAGCAATTTGTGATGTTCGGTAGCGCGCATCGTATCGCGCAGAACCTCGGACTTTCGAAGTTGAAAGACGACTCCGATTCAAGCAAAGGTGGGTATGGAGCCAAGATGAGAGATCCAATCCAAAGAGAAGTGGGTCGCAGAATCTGGTGGTGCATGGCTATGCAGGATTGGTTGTCATTACCATCATATGACATGTTTGCCATTCACCCCAAACACTTCGCGATCCCCCGACCTCGTCACATCGACGGTGGTGAGCTGAAGGAAGTGGCACAATACTTCAATTATGTTTTGAACATCGCTTACGTTGTCATCGAATACCATATTGCAAGCATGGAAGAAACAGTGGCAACGGATCCTACAACCAAATACGAGCTGGTCTTGAATTACGACTCCAAGCTGCGGGATCTCGCACCCTGGCGACCGACCATTACCGCAGATTCTCCTCCTTGGTTGCGATGGGCCACTTCCTCCGCCAGAATCATACACGCTCACAAGACTATAATTCTGCACCGTCACTTCCTGGGGAAGTCTTTCCGTGACCCAGCGTACGCATATACACGATGGGCATCAATCACAGCTTCCAAGAACATCATAGCAGAAACTGCAGCTGCGTTCTCGATTCCTGATCGACCGCACGTCTGGACAATTCACGCCCATCTCACGGGTGCAGGAGTGACATTATGCCTCGACATCATGCACCGTTCTCCCTCCGAACCGGAATATATTTCTCACCTCGATCTTGTCGAGAAGGCCCTGACACTTCTCGATCAAGTGAGCTCAGATAGTGACCTTGCTTCTCGCGGCCACCGTCTCCTGAGTTCAATGCTCAAAGAAAGCGTATATGGAGCTGGATTTGAAAATGAAAAGAATGCCTCTACGGCAATCAAGCACTCCTCTCGCCTTCACGAAGCTGACGATAGTATTGACTCTTGGCCTATTCGAGGCACATCGGCTATCTTAGACACCGAGGAAACTACACTTGAAGCCCTTGGTCATACCGGTGACCCACATATCTCGCCAAATGGCAATCTCGTTGATGAAGGAAGCTGGCCTGCTACTGCTGATATTGGAAACGGCAGCAGTGAAGAAATGAGTTGGACTGAGCTACTGACTGAGTTTTTCCCTGATCAGTTCGACATGGAGGTTATGGACTTCATCAATACGATGAATACATGTACTGGTAATGAACACGTCAGTCAATGGTAAGCCTGGTGAGTACTGACCTCATGGAATACGGCTATGGGTTCACGCCCTCTGGTAATAACGAAGAATGAGGAGGAAATGTAATCGATGTACTGCCATCCGACTCCTATACCCAGCTGCATGGAGAAGCTATATGTATTCACCCATCTACTTCACACTCCTCAACTGCTACCTGACCCCAAGCACTACTTTCACTGCGAAACCAATCAGATCACCTCTTCCGATGACCGACTCCCCATCATGAATCGAAATGTCTTCTGGGACAACCGCTGGATACCAGGCTCCGGTTCGTAGAGCAAGACGAACCTTGGTGAATCCATTTATTAGTACCCGACTATCCACCCCGAGTTCACTCCGCTTTCCACTCTCCTGGCACGCTATAATACGTCGAGACGCTGATCCAATGCACCATTCTGGCGACGAAGGTAGTCAGCGCCCTGCAATTCCCAGAAACGCGCAACAACGGCACGGGTCGCCGTGCGACCCAAGTCTTCTGTGACGCTGTGAAAGAGGCTGCATCGTTGATCCAAGTCGTAATCCTTCTGACCGGTGGCCGAATTCTTCATGTCGAGGTGATAGATGGACACATCTGTAGATATCGTGCCGAGGACATCGCTAATCAGATCTAGAACTATCTCACGCATCTTTTCTTCGACGTTCGGGGCGTCAAGGTTAAGCTGTTCTGTGTCAGCGGTGGTATCAATTGTGGAGAGTGGTACTGATTTACTTCGAAGATCTGCGATCTATAACCATGGTCGCCAAGATAGCCTTCCCATAGGAACCCGCACCAGCCTGGTGCATACTCCATGATGTCGCTCATTGACTTTTGATTCCGGTGAAGTTGTGAATTTGGGAACCTGGAGATGATCCTGAGGGAAACTACATCGATTGCTCTGCGGAGTTCTCTAGAGCATTCGCGCGTGATTGGTGATGTAACTTTGGCCGTCCAGTCGAGAAAGATATTGAGAAAGGTTAGGCAAAGCCAGATCATGACGCCGGAAATGATGGAAGCAGTTAAGATAATAGGGAATGACGCGAAGTCCACGGAAGCCATCTTGGTCATTTTCTGAGGTGCTGGGTGAACCGATGGAAGAGAAATACTGCTCACCAGTACTTATGCCAATGTCATGTCTCAAGCGGTGTAGATCAGACTACGGCAGTCTGCGGCTTCCCGTAGATGCAGCAACGAGTCTCAGGCAACAGAAGCTGCACAAAGAATGGATCATAAATTGGAAAATCTTGGCAAGCGTCACTCCCAGACAGCATGATTCGAACTGAGATGTGTTGACACTGCTTGTTCCGCACTGTTGTACGCCAAAAACCAGATTCCAGAATTCATGCATCCCGTCTTGAGCAGTGAGCAGCGCATGCCAATCCAAACAAGAAGAAGGCTGAGATGAGCAAGTCATTAACGAAGCTGCATATCATACCAATGCCTCCAGCACGCCCAGCATCCGCTCTCATACCCTCCATCAAAGCTTCGCCTCCCCACTCATAACATCCCTCAACAACTTCAACGCCTCAATAGCAAACTGCACCATATTCCCCACCCTATCCGGCCCCAAGTTGGTCTCAATCTCCCTCACAAAAGTGCCCCTCTCACAATCCACCGCGAGAGCAACATACCCCGGCTTTCGATTCCTCGTCGTACCTCCCGTCGGTCCCGCCGTCCCACTCTCAGATAACGTATACGTACTCTCTAAATCCTTCCTTACATGTTTCGCCAACCCGGATACGATATCGGTAGTAGGACCCTTGTAATTCTCGATCGTTTCTTGGGTCCAGCCTGCGTATGCGATTCGGGAGGGGAGGGTGTATAGGGTGAGGCCGCCTTTGTAGTAGCCTGACGCTCCCGGTTGGGAGAGGAGGGAGGAGGAGATGAGGCCGCCTGCGGCGGTTTCGGCGATGGAGATTGTTTCGGAGCGGGATTTGAGGAGTTGGGTTACTTCGTCGAGGATGGGTTTGATGCCGGATGGCGGGAAGTCGGAGTGGGGAGTGAAGAGGGACATGGTTGCTGTCTTTGGGTTGAGAAATGTGGTTGGTCTCGTGTCTGGAGTGAGCTTGAGCTGTAATGATCGCGTAGTAGCTTGATGGAGAGCTTGGGTGTGAGAGGGTGGTAGTCTGGTTGTTGGAATTGTCCTTAAGCAGCGTAGCGCTATGGGTTTGGTAGAGTTAGAAGGAGACAAGGCACTTTTCACACCTACGAGGCTCTTCATGTGATATACTATCAAGCCGTGCAGTAGCCACGACGTCAGTGTGAGTATTTGTGTGGTTCAGTCGCAATAATGGAGAGCCCCGCGATGCAAGATGAGGTGGGGAGCTTCAGTCATCGCCGAGGCTGCCCGACGATCAACCATTTTCACGACGACACTTTTGGTGTTCTAGTGCAGTAGCTAATTCGTTCCTCGGTACAGCTTGGCTTGACTGTGGTCGAACACATTCGATGGAAAAAAGAATTGTAGGCAGCCGAGGAGGAAACTAGGAAATCCAGCTAAACACGTTTGAGAAGGAGACAGGTTGTGAAGAGGTACATACAATTCGTCATTGAGAGCATCGACACAGGCTACTCTACGTTCGAAACATGAAACAGCCCATTGAAGACATTGAAGCCCTCTTGAAATGCCCAAAGTCTCTTTCCTTTCGTAGCTTTTCTGTTCATGACCTGGACCCATTGCATAGAAGCAAAGCAATAAGGTGGTATTTCAGGAGATCTTCAAAGCTGCGCCTTTGAAATGCATAGCGGTCCTCCGAATGACGCCGATCCTATGTTTGTATCGCTAATGTGGAGGTATCGAGCACGGAAGAAGCAGAAAGAGACGGGAAACGGTGTGAGTCGGGATCCAAGGACATTTCTTCCTGTTTGATGGAAACGCTCGCCTCGCCTGGGGTCTCCTGTTTGGATGGTGTTTTTAGATCGCTGGGACTCTCCTGCTTGATAGGCTTCTTGCTTCTGCTTGAAGTTTGTCGTCTAATGAATGGAGGGTCGGTATCGGAATGCGTCTCTTGCTTGACGTGTGTCTCTTGCTTGATCGGTGGCTCGATTGAGGAACATACCGAGTCGGGTCCTCCAACAGCATTGCTTGAGGTTACAAAGCCGCTGGATTTGACGGGTCGCCGCGCATGAGACTGTGCAGGAGATTGATACCTACTAACCACCACCGCGCGCGTACGGGTGGAAGCCACGATGTCCTCCTCGACCGCCGCCTCGGTAGTTAGCGCCGGGCCGGCCGGCGTTCTTGGGGCCAGTTGGTGCGCCAGCAGGCGCCTGACCTGCTGGCTGGGGAGTGGGCTTCTGGAAGCCACCGCGACCTCCACGAGCATTGAAGCCACCGCGTCCAGGACCTGGGCTCATACCTTGAGGAGCTGGGACATCATCATACATGCCCTCCCAAGTATTCTCGCCGGCAAAGTTGCCCTGTTGCATGCGAGCCATCTGTTGACGTTCATACTTCTGCTGTTCGAACATCAGCTGTTCCTGGGCCGAGAAGCCGCCTTGCGAGTTCGACCGGCCATTGCCATTCTGTCCAACTTGCATAGGTGAGTTGCCGCCTCCCTGCATGCCGCCATTGAAGCCTTGTTGCATAGCAGCCATCTGCTGCATCATTTGAGGATTCATCTGACCGTTTTGCTGGGCGCGCTGCATCATCATCTGCTGCATCATGGGGTTCATGCCACCCATTCCGCCCATTCCGCCGCCCATGTTCTGTGCTTGCATCATCGCAAAGTATTGCTGCATTCGTTGCCAGTATTGTGCCATCATTGCTGGAGTCATGTTGTTCGGGCCTTGACTGCCACCGTTGGCATTGACATCACCGCCACCCATTTGATTTTGGTTGCCGAATCCAACACCTCCGTTGTTGTTGCCGAACTGGCCTCGAGGCTGCCATTTAGATTTTGGTGCCTCCTCCTCGCCCATCTTGCCTCGCGGTTGGGCACGCTTCACCTCAATCGGCTTGCCAAGAATCGCGAGTGGGCCTTCCAGTGTGCGTTCGACAGCGAGTTCCGAGTCGAACGTGACGAAGCCAAAGCCTCTTGGTCGGCCAGTGTCCTTGTCCATCATAAGGGTAGCATCAAGTACACGGCCGAATTTCATGAAGAAGTCCTTGAAGTCGGCCTCCGTTGCTTCCTGGGAGACACCGCCGACGAAAATCTTGGCTGTGCGCTCCTGTTCGTCTCGTGGGATAGCCCGCTTGGGATCGATCTGACCGCATCTGTTAGATTTGTTCCTCTTTCTCTTCCGTGACACGCCTCTGCTTAATCTTACAAGTTTGCCGTCCAATGAATGCTCCTTGACCATGACCGTGTTGACATTCTTGGGGTCTTTGAAAGTCAAGAAACCGAAGCCTCGCGAGCGGCCGGTGGCGCCATCTCGCATGACTGTGCATTCTACGACTTCTCCGAATTGCGAAAAGTACTGCTTCAGCGATTCTAACGATACATGTTAGATGCCGTAAAGATCGATACAGAGCATGCCAAGCTTACCGTCTGTCGTTTCCCAGTTGAGACCGCCAATGAACATCTTTCTATAATCATTATGTTAGTGACTGCAAAAATTCTATTGCCACGCAGAATGATGTGAGCGTGAGCTGTCGGGTAAAACATTAATCCTCCTTCGCGCACGAGGCGACATGCCTCTGCCATGTCTGATCGGTCCTGCACCAGATTGTGATCATTCAGGGTTCTCGTATGGCTACCGCACCTGCCAACACAAGCCGAATGCCGACCAGCCCATTCCGACCGACGCGGGAATGACGGTGGTGTTGTGGGTGTCTCGGCCTTGCATGCCGCATCGACCCCGATAATGCATTCACCGTGTGGTGTCCACGCGCTGTGCAATGCTGGCAAGCCCGCACGAGCCTTCGTCAAATACGCGCCATCTCGAAACCAGTGAAGTGTGGTTCTGCGGGGCTTCAGGAACGGCGAACTCTGTCCTAGCCTCAAGGAAACGCTCTCGACTGCACGAGCTTGGTATTCAGATCTGTCTGTCTCTTTGGCGATGTTCGCGGATTATCAAGCTGATTGCATGCTATCAATGCTGACCGTATGCATGTCACTTTCGTGCAGCAGAAAGCGGTACTCAGCAGCATGACTCTATCGGCTATCTCCTCTCTTCTGTCTGACTGATCTGATCTGATCTGCTAGGTAGTCGCTAGTGCGGTCATTGTGCTCAAGCTAAGGCGCTCAGTTGTAGTACTTGCGTGCTGGCCAGGTTGCGTCTCCCACAACATTTCCATGTATATAGAAGGTAGAAGTCAGGTAGACCAAATGAAGGACGAGTGTCCGACAACTTTGCATCTTCTCGACGCCATGTACCACCCCATTTGTCTGACAGGCAACATAGTGCGCGAGCATCAGTTGCAAATGAGAGCTTGCCAACTTTGGGCTCTGAGACCCTCCCATTGCACGTCCCATCCACCGCTTTGTCCCTGATTCACACCCAGCATGTAACAATGTTGGACTTGTGTGGCAAAGATGTGCCATTGTGCCTTGCGTCGATCTTGATAAAGTGATTTGCATCGACGGCAGGCTGGAACTTGGCGATCGTAGCGGAGCCGGCAGTCTCTCCAAATCGAGATAGCAGCTATCCGCCACTCGGTCCGAGGCTGTGATATCGTTGTACGCCCACATTCCTTGACCAAGCCGAGTTTGTCGGGACTTGATAACGGAGGCCAAAAGAGGTGTGTACGCAAAGGACCAAGTTGGCCGCGGCGTCTATTCAGGCGACTATTGCTGCTGCTGTGGTGCTGATGCCGTATATTGGTGATGCTCACGCTCACACCACTTGGGAATGAAGAAAAGGGAGTGCTACTTACCCATCCTCCTTTATACCTATAGGCTTCTCGTCCGCCGGGGTATCTCTGAACTCATTCTGGACGCCATCCATGCTGCCGCCGTGATTATTGTACTGTGGCTCCTCGTTGTATTCATTCTTCGCTTCGGCAGCACCGCCATCTCCGGCGGCTATGGTGGGCTCATCGCCGCCGCTGAAGTCTTGGGGTGGTGTGCCGAGCTGCGGCTCAGGCTCGGGCTCGGCCTTCTGTGTAGGCTCTTGCGCGCTGTCATCACCGTCGTAGCTACCTGCGGTTAGCCATGTCCAGACGTGTCGCGCGCGCGACCGGCGTTGAGAGCAGTTTCGCGGTAGGTTGTACTCACAGGTCTGCGAACAGATCCTCGTCATCCTGAACGCCATTGTCCGCCATGGTCGCGAGTGTGCGGGCACCACGATGAGCTCAGACAAACGCGGTGTGACTCGAGAAAAATGATGATGTGGAGAGGAAGGAGTATGGAGGGGATGAAATCAAGGTGGGAGGTGGAAGAGCGGATGCGGTGGTGATGTTTGCTGCGTTCGAGGGATCGAGGGATGGCGGGCGACTGCGGGACAGCGGGACAGCGGGAGTAGGCGCTTGCCGAAACCGAGGGGTCCCGTTCTTTGACGATGGTCCTGGAGCCAGCAGACCGTGAATAGAACAGTGCGCGCTCCTGTAATTGGTGACACTCCTGAAAGAGTCGCCATGTTCAAGAAGCCGGCTCAGCAGCAGGTATAGCGTGAAAATCACATGCTACAGAAATGCACTAATTGGTCTAAGGAGAGCGTCCGCGAGATGGTCCAGGTCGGTTCGTCGTGCCTCACTACTCCTTCCACCACTACCACCACCACCACCACCGTTGCCTCCCAGCCTCCCGCGCATTCGGCACTTCCGACCTAGCAGAAGCACCAGCTAATATGGGCGACCTTTGGGCCTTTATAGACCGGACCGAGTAAGCATGAGTCGTAAAGAGTTAAGGGAATGGCTACTCACAATTGTACAGCACTGCATCTCCGTTCTGGCGAACTAGCTCGGCTACGAGTCAACGAAGCAACAATGAGCAAACCAATCGCGCCAACTCGCAGGAAGCATCGCAGCGCAAGGTCATTGGCGCGTCATATTCCCACGCCGATATACTGAAACTGGACAATCTGTAATACCACTTGTCCTGCATATTACGCCTGGATCTATGTTGATATGTCGTAGATCGCTTTCTGGAGATCGACCCCGAACACCGCCTTATTCTTCTAGTGCGAGAGGTAGCGGGAACACACCACCCCCCGGAACTGGTCGATCGCCACCCTCGCGACCAAAGTACCAGAGTTTCCTTTCAGACACGAGTAATGCCTGGGATGAGGATGGAAACACGTTTGGCTTGGACGAAGATGAGGATGAGTTTGGACTGCCGAGCATAGCATCAATGCGAAGGAAAGGCAAGAAGGCGTCAACGAACAAGGCGAAAGAATCGACTATCGCAAGCGGTTTTGGAAGCGACAACAGGACACCACATGCCAATGCTTCGCGGAATGGGAGTGTTGCCTCTGCATCATCACTTTCGTACGCGCCGGCACTCGATAACGGAGATGTGTCGGAAGTACGAGCGATTCCAGCATATCCCACCATGAAACGAAGCACAGAGGGCCAGAAGATCTTGCGACCACAGTACAAGGATATATTGCGAGACCCGGCCAACAGTCTGCACCTGATATCACATCCATCCGTCCCAGCTGGAGCGTCTGCAAAAGAAATCGAAGCACACTCAGCGCGTATCACTCGCATAAACAAGTTCAAGAAGATCCTCCAGGCGTCGTCAGTGAACCTCGCAGAACTCCGAAATAGTGCATGGTCGGGATTGCCCAGCGAAGTCCGCGCCATGACCTGGCAACTCCTTCTCGGGTACCTCCCTACAAGCTCAGAACGGCGAGTAAACACGCTTGAACGAAAACGAAAAGATTACCTGGACGCCGTCCGACAAGCATTCGAACGAGGCACAATGGGCGCATCACAACCCGTCGAAGCAGGAATGATCGCTGGGCCCAATTCCTCGCCTGTTTCGAATCGCGGTCGAGGCAGAGGTCTAGACGAAGCAATCTGGCACCAAATTAGCATCGATGTACCTCGAACAAATCCCCACTTGGAGCTCTACAGCTATGAAGCGACACAGCGAAGTCTCGAAAGAATATTATACGTGTGGGCCATTCGACATCCTGCATCAGGCTACGTGCAAGGGATCAATGATCTTGTGACACCATTTTGGCAGGTCTTTCTGGGCCAGTACATCACAGATCCGGAGGTAGCAACAGGCATGGATCCAGGACAATTGCCCAAAGCTGTGTTGGACGCCGTCGAAGCAGATTCATTCTGGTGTCTGACAAAACTTCTAGACGGAATACAAGACAATTACATTCACGCACAACCCGGGATCCAACGACAAGTCTCAGCATTACGTGACCTCACAGCAAGAATAGATGGCGCTCTGGCAAAACACATGGAAAAAGAAGGCGTAGAATTCATCCAATTCAGTTTCAGATGGATGAACTGTCTCCTGATGCGAGAGATCAGTGTGAAGAACACGATACGCATGTGGGATACATATCTCGTAAGACTGCCTACCCAAACAAGCTTACAGAGACCGTCGTACTGATATCCGTCTAGGCCGAAGACCAAGGTTTCTCCGCCTTCCACCTCTACGTCTGCGCCGCCTTCTTGGTAAAATGGTCGGATAAGCTCCAGCAAATGGATTTCCAAGAAATCATGATGTTCTTACAATCCCTGCCAACGAGGGATTGGACGGAAAAGGATATCGAATTACTCCTCAGCGAAGCTTTCATTTGGAAATCTCTATTTGCTGGGTCCAAAGCGCATGTCAGGCAGAGTTCTGCAGGGAATGTACCGGCTGGTGGATTGCAGTTATGATGATAGCGATCGCAATGGTACAGCAATTGAGCGAGGAAGAAGTGATCGATGCCTCATTATCTTCCCTTGTGTGGTCGTGGTGCATTGTGTTTCTCGTCCCAGTCCAGGATGCCGTCCACGTTCATACGTATCCCGTCGCCGGCTTTGAACGTTCCAGGAGGCATATCTGGACTGTCCTCGTAAATGTTCGAGAAATCCTCGTAGCGAGGGTAGCTCTCCTGAAGACCAAGAATATGATCGCCAAAATCGAGCCTCTCGGCCAGTTTCATCGTCTTCGGGAGTCTGAGTTCGTTGGACAGCATCATCATCGCCTTCTGGCTTTGGTGCAATGAATTCGCTCCCCTCTTCATGAGCCAGCGTTGTTAACATTGGGAGGACATTATTCGAGCGGAGCGACAGACCAATCAAGCTCCTCGAGTTGCTCCAGGTGCCCACTGGTCTGGAGCAGCGCTTAGGAACAAACAAGGTTGGTGCCAATAACGCATGCGTGCATACTGCAGCGTCTTGAGTCTTGACTCTTGACGCATCGGAAGGCTATTTCTTAGCGAATTCGCTAATTTTACGCCCCCGGCTAGGTTTCACGCTTTGCCTAACAAAACTTAGTGTACAGATATGCTAGTAGCTAATAGAAGTAGGCGATTAGAACGTTAGGTCGACTATAGGCGGATTAGTAACTCTTAGGGTTAAGAAGGAGGTATAACTTAAGGCTATATAGAAGGCTTAATTTAACGACTATAGATAATAAAGTAGCCTCTATCTATTTGCTAACGAGTATAGCCGCTATTAGCATTTAGTATTAGTAATAGCTTAGTAGCGCTTAGGTATACTATTAACCTATACTCGTATTTACTAGAAGGTAATCTTACTATATTCTTTAAGGATTGCTAGTAATAGCTTACGACTAACTAGCCTATCTCTACGCCGTTTAATAGCCTCTAATATAGTACGCTAGAGGTTCTTAGTAGAGTTTAGGTTAGGTAAAGAAGGTAGCTATACTATACGGATAATACGATAAGAATTAAGTGCTATTATTATATAAGCCGCTTAGTGCGAGATAGCGTTGTCTTACTAGAATAAGACAAATTCGAGGTACTATACCCTATTATAATAAAGGCTTAAGTTGTTAGTAATAATAGTATTTAATTAGTCGAGTCTTTTATAGACTTCTAGTATAATATATTAAGAATAGCTAGCGGTATTAATATTGCCCTAATCTAAAGTACTAGTATTCTATAGAATAAGAGGTCCTTTACCGCTACGTCTACTAATATAGGCCTATATTATCTAGTAAGGTAGGCGCTAGAAGCGAGGCCTCGAATATACGTCTTAGTTACGCTTACTAACCTACCGAGTTATAAAGAGCCGCTTATATAATCTATTATATATAGTATACTCGTTTAACTATAGAACGTTAGCCTAATTATTAGTTGTCTAGTAATAGTATAACTATACCTATTCTAACCTCTTTTATTATATTAGTATACTATAGAAGGGGCGAGGGCGTACGACGTAGTAGCAGAAGCTAAATCGACGGCAAATTCGAGATATAGTACGAGGATAGTAGGGTAGGTTTAAAGCGTCCCTTATCTCGCGGAAAGTTATCTATATCGTAGTAGTATTTTATATAACGAAGCTAATAATGTCCCTCTATTATTAGGTAGTAAAGATCGTACGCTACCGGTATAGTACGTTAATAAGAAATAGGCTTCTCGAGTTGTCGACTAGAATAGATACTAGATCTAGGTCTTCTTACGATTAATAGCGATAGACCTATAGAGTCTACTATTCTTTATATATTATAAACAGTCTTATATACTCTCTTTAACTACTTAGCAATACGAGAGACTAACTATCCTACCGCTCGGTAGAGGTATTTAATAGTATAGCGAAGTTTATATAGAAGGACGACTCGCTAGTAGATTTAGTATTCGAGGCTCTAGCTCTATTAGGTAGCGATTTCGTACGATAGAAGCTCGTAAGGAGTCCTAAATAAGAGCGTACGTAGTAATAGAAGTACTAGCTATCTAGTAGGTTAATTAGCAAGTAAAAGGAAGCGCTAGAGTGTTTATTATATCGATTAAGAAAGCAAATTAAAGCCGGAGAATTAAGATAAAGGATTAGGAGATACCTCTTCTAGACTAGTAGCTTTACTAGTTAATCTAGCAAGTTCCTACCGAGCTAGTAAGATTACTAAAGTATAGGGTATAACGTCGACTCGAGGAGTTAGACTTAGAGCCTAAGGCTTAGAATCGCTAGAATTAAGGTCTATAACCTCTACTAGCAGACTATAGCGCTATAAAGCCTCTTATTACTTAATAAGCTACTACTAAGACTCGTTATATTTAGGTAGTTAATTATAGACTAGTAACGGAAGGCTTAGTATATAATCGCGGTAGTAGGAGTATAGTAGACTAGTATAACGTAGTCTAGCGGATCTAGCCGGCGCTACGCCTACCCTTATTACCCTTACTACGACTTTATATTCTTCTTATTCTTCTATACTTAACTAAGGCAACCGACGGATAGGTACGTCTATAGCGCGCGTAGTTTAAGTAATAGTATTTATTAGGGCTAAAGAGGCTATACGTAATTGGCATGTAACTAGGCTAAGTAAAGCTAGGGTCTTAGTGCCTTAGGTAGGGCTTGGCGCTTAGCGTTAGGCTAACTAGCTAGCCTTCCTCCTTCTCCTCCTAGACCTCTATCGAATACTACTCGTACCTACTACTACCCTATCTACCTGCTAATATAACCCTTCTTATATAGTATTCGATCTACCCTTTAAGGGCAGTAGCTAGATAGTTCTTATTTTAAGCTTTTAGCGGTATAGCTACGAATAAGACTAATCTAACTATATTGCGCCCGAAGAACGGGACCTATACGTACTATCCTATCGAAACAACCGTACCAATTATTAAGCAAGGCCTTCTATACGGCCTATTATACTAAGTTAAGCATACTAGACCGATATCTACTAATTCCGCTATATCCGTATCTTAGGGGCTAACAATATAATATTAGTGTTGCCCCTTATAATAGCCGGTTTATTACGAAATAATAACCGTGCTACCGCTAGCAGCGCTAGCAACGACAACGCTAGTAGCATAGTGCCTACTAAAGTGCCTACTAAAGCACCTGCTAAAGTGCCTCCTACTAAAGAGCCTGCTACTAGGCCTACCGAAGAACCTATAGTCCTAGGTAATAACCTAGAATTGCCTATTAACGACATTCTTAGCAATATTGTTAACCGTCGATATAGCTAACTAGCCTTTAGCCCCTAGCCGATAGCGAGACTTTAAGAAGCTACCTAAAACAGGCTTACTGCCTTGCGTTAAGAATAATAGCTAAAGGATAACCTCCTCGAGCTCCGTCGCCTTTAGGAAGCTCTAATAACCCCTACTAAACTAATAGTAGGACCTTCTTTACTACCTATCTAAAAGAAGGATACTAAACTTAAGGACTGTACTGTGTTTAACGGCTCTAGTCGCAAGCAATATAACGATTATATACGTAATTGCGAGCTTAACTAGCGAAATGTACCGAGGGCTCTTCTAGGCGACTATTTACTAGTTGTCTACGCTATACAGTACATTAATAGCGACCTAAAGCGCATATAGGATAACTATTTCGACGCCCTTAATAACTAGACTACTGTTTAGTAGCAAACCTATAAAACCATTATACTAGATACCCTTAGAAACCCTATACTAAGGCAATAATATACTTAGGACCTGTATCTTCGAGCTAAATAGAAGACTAATCAATCGGCTCGCTTATTCGAGGCCTATTTAAAGACCCTCGAGGATAACCTCCCGGCTAAGACTAATTCTATATAGATCTCGGAAATACGCCCTAAGCTTAGGTAGGAGCTTATTCTCGAATTAGACCGTCGCCGTATATTCGAACAAGCTAACCTAACACGTATTTAATTTATAGTCGAAGTAGAAATAGCCGAACGAGCTATCTAGCTCTAATAACGACTAGAATCGAGGATCCGACTAGCTAGTACTAACCGTAGCAACCGTAGCCGCGGAGGAAACTAAGGTTCCTACTATAATAACAATGCTAATAATAGGAATAGTAACGACCGTAGAAGAGGTCGTAGCCGACGGCTATATAGAGGAGGCCGCGATAGGGGTCGTAGAAGGGGCTCGTATCCCTATAATACTAACCGCTCGGCTAATAACAGTAATAACAGCTACGGCAACCTACTAACCGGATTGAAGTGCTTTAACTATAATAGTACTAGCTATCTCCTAGGCTAATATAACAAACCTAAGAACTAGGCCCGAATTAACCGTGCTTCCGCTAAGTATAGGAAGTACCTTTTAGCCGCTAATGCTACCTCTATTAGCTCTTTTAACTAGTCGAAAAAAGAATAAGCGCCGCACTAACTATTAGCCTTATACGGCGTAAAACTATCGACATTATGCTAGCTATTATACGCACCTGTCTTATATAGGATACGTATAGAACTACCTATTAAACTAAGGTTATACTAGATCTAGGAAATTCGGTTAGCGCCCTTATTAATTACCGCCTAGCTAAGCAATTAGACCTCCGACAATTGCCTAGAACCGATATGCCAACCCTTGCTTAGTTTAATAACGCTCGGCACTTAACCTATAGAGCCTACTATATTCCTATAGTTCTAAAGGACGACCTCGGCAATAAGCGTTTGTTAGACTTTACTGCCTATATAGTAGACATAGACAACCTCCTATCCGATATTGTTATTAGCAACCCTATTCTTAAGCACTATGCTATAGTTATAGACTTAGGCAGTTAATAGTAGCGATTTAGGATTGCTAGGAGAGAGGACATTAAATATATTAATATTAGCGAGTGCCCTAACAATATCAAGGTTCTGTTTATTAGTACCCTAACACTAGCCTCCGCCTTAGCTAATCCGACTGCCGACCTACTCGGTAGTAATAATAATAAACCTGTACCCCCTAATAGTATAGACCCTAAACAGCTTACTCGCATACCTTAGCCTATTC